TTCTCCATATTTGATGTACGTGTTTCCAATATGAGTTCGGCCGGATGTGCCAAAATTCAGGTCATTTGCACTGATATTGATATCACAAAATGAGGTTCCTCGCTTCATTTCCAGCGCACAATGGCCACCAAAATCTCCGGATACCAATCCGTTGGACTATTGTGTCTGGAGTATTTTGGAAAGCAAGGTTCGCACTAAAAAATACCAAAGTTCCGATCACCTCAAGCAAGCGCTTCGCCGGGAATGGGCCAAAATACCGCAGTACAACATTCGGGAAGCGTGTGACGGTTTCATTGGCCGTTTGAAGGCCATAATACGTGCCAAAGGTGACCAATTCGAACAATTTTCCACATTTTTTGCTTTTATTCAATAAAATTTTTATTTGTATCTTCGTTGCAGTTTTTTTATCTCACCCTGTAAGTGTTCGATTTATCTTGTAATTTTGCCGATACCAATATTTTTATGTGTATTAGTTGGAGTATGAAATTGGAATACTTCGGTCGACTATATCTGATACCTCACGTACATTTTAAAATTGTCTAAAAATTATCACATATCTCATATAAAGTGAAGCATATATTCCAAACCTGGTAGGTCGCAAATATGTATATCATATCTTTTTAGTTCCGATATTGCTCAATATTGGTCCATTCCTTCAGAACCTACTCCGATGAGGGTCAACAATTTGAATAAGTAAAAATGTATTTAAATAATCGAACATTTACTGGGGTATACACCTAGCTGAGGGTATAAATTTCAGGATACCAGCTCTACTGGTTGGCTCAAATCCATATATTGTTTCACATTTAGTACATTTTAATACAAATTCCAAAAGGTACCAACATACCGCATTCCTACAATGTAATAGAAATCTTATTTTAAATTTTCAGTATTCCAGCTCAATCGATTCCCCCAAATCGAAATTGTACCAATTTTATTACTTTTCGTCCAGATATGTAAACATTTCGAAAAATACCTCTATATCTCAAACACGCACTCCGACAGTAATCTTTTCTCCAAATTTCAGGATACCAGCTCTATTGGTTCACCCAAAAAATAAATTGTACCAAATTTAGTACCATTTAGTACACATAAGTACAAATTTCCATAACTACCTACATCATACAATCCTGTAGAAATCTAATTTCAAAATATTAGCATTAGAACTCTATGGGTCCTACCAAAATTTTAATTGTACTATAATTTAGTACACATGAGTACAATTTTCCAAACCTACCACCATACCCCAAATCCCGCAATGCAATAGTAATCTCAATTTCCGGATTCCGACTCTGTTGGTTTTCCCAAAATTTAATTTGTACCAAATTTAGGACAATTTAGTACACATAAGTTCGAATTTCCAAAACTTCCTACTCACCCTAATTCCTGCAATGCAATAGTGATCTACTTTCAACAAATACCTCTTTACATCGGCCCTTGATTCCCATTTCTACACTCCGGCTGTTGTCTTTTTCCAAATTTCAGGGTACCAGCTCTATTGGTTCACCCAAATCCAAATTGTACCAAATTCAGCATACATAAGTACAAATTTCGAAGACTACCTTCATATCCAAATCCTTCACTTCAACAGCAATCTTAATTTCAATTTTTGATTCCAGCTCAAGCTGTTCAAATAAGTACAAATTTCCATAGCTACCTACATCATACACTCCAGTAGAAATCTTCTTTCCTAATTTCAGGATACCAACTCTATCGGTTCTCCCAAAATTTTAATTGTATTAAAATTTAGTACCATTTAGTACACAATAGTACGAATTTCCAAAACTTCCTATATATCTCAGTCCTATAATGCAATAGTATTCTTATTTCCGAATTTCAGGATTCAAACTGTATTGATTCTCCCAAATCGAAATTGTATCAAATTTAATACCATCTAGTAAACATAAGTACAAAATCCCATAGCTACCCTATATCATACAATCACGTTGAAATCTTATTTCCAAATTTCAAGATTCTAACTCCACCGGTTCTCCCCAAAATTTAAATTGTACTAAAATTGTAGTACCAATTAGTACACATTGGTACGAATTTCCAAAACTTCCTACATTCCTCGGTCCTATAATACAATATTTATCTTATTTCTAAACTTCAGAATTCCTGCACTATCGGTTCACCCAAATCCTAATTGTTCCAGATTTAGTACTATTTAGTTCTTTTTGTGCACATAAGTACAAAATTTGCTCCATTTCCCAATCCCACACTTCGCCATATCCCAATCCTACACTTCGTAATGTTAATTCCAAATTTCAGGATATCAGCTCCTTTTTATAGCCTATACCACAAGTGGTGAGGATATTATGTATTTGTGTATTTGTTTGCAACAGGCAAAAGGAAACGAGATAGACCCATAGTTCCTTTTGATGAGCTGCATAGAATCACATTCTGAGTCGATTTATGCATGTCCATCCGTCCGTCCGTCTGGCCAAGTATTTTTGTGAATAAAGTACAGTTCGCATTTATTACCAGATCCAGATGAAATTTTGCACAAATCATTTGTTTGGCCCAAGGACGAACCCTATTGAAATTGGAGATAATCGGTCAAAATGTAGATATAGCTCCCATATATATATCTTCGTCCGATTTGCCTTTTATTGTGCACCAAACGTGTAATATCAGCCCGAATAGTATGGAATTTTGCACATACAAGCAAATTAGGCCTGAAAATAAGTATGCCAAATTTGATCGAAATCGGTTCAGCTATAGCTATAGCTCCAATATATATTGTTCATCCGATTTGTTATTTTTGTCCTCCGCAGCCGTAATTGCACTCCGTAACAATGATATTTAGGGAAATATATCAAATACAGCTCAGACATATATTTACCAAATTTTATCAAGATCGGTTCCGATTTGGATATAGCTCCCATATATATCTTAATCCGATTTCAAGTTAATTGTGCACCAAACGTCTAATATTTGCCCAAACGGGATGGAATTTGGCACTTACGACCGAATTGAGTCTAGAAGCTAGTATGTCAAATTTGGTGAAAATCGGTCCAGATATAGCTATAGCTCCCATATATATTGTTCACCCGATTTCTTATATTTGTTCGCCACAGCCGTGATATCCAGTCCTTAACAACGATTTTCAGGGAAATATATGAAATACAGCTCAGAAATATCTTTGCCAAATTTTATCAAGATCGGTTCAGATTTGGATATAGCTCCCATATATAACTTCGTCCGATTTATCTTTTATTGTGCACCAAACGTCTAATATTTGCCCAAATGGGATGAAATTTGACACTTATGACCGAATTGAGTCTAGAAGCTAGTATGTCAAATTTGGTAAAGATCGGTTCAGATATAGCTATAGCTCCCATATATACTGTTCATCCGATTTGTTATATTTGTTACCCACAGCCGTAATATGCACTCTGTAACAACAATATTTGGGGAAATATATCAAATACAGCTCAGAAAGAGCTTTACTAAATTTTTCGAGATCGGTTCCGATTTGGATATAGCTCTCATATATAACTTCGTCCGATTTACCTTTTATTGTGCACCAAACCTCTAATATTTGCCCAAATGGGATGAAATTTGACACTTACGAATGAATTGAGTCTAGAAGCTAGTATGTCAAATTTAGTGAAGATCGGTTCAGATATAGCTATAGCTCCCATATATACTCTTCATCAGATTTGTTATATTTGTTACCCACAGCCGTAAGATGCACTCTGTGACAACAATATTTGGGGAAATATATCAAATACAGCTCAGAAATATCTTTGCAAAATTTTATCGAGATCGGTTCAGATTTGGATATAGCTCCCATATATACCTTAATCCGATTTCAAGTTAATTTGGTGCACAAATGGGTAATACAAGTCCGAATTTAAAAGATACAAATGCTTCGGCATTTTTTTGAATATTATGAATTTTATATTAAAATCATAGCGTGTATGAACTCGGAGCTCTACTAAATTAGGAAAGTGGAGTAGGGTATCATAAAGTCGGTCCAGCCCGACTTTAAGACTTTCTTTACTGGTTTATCCTGTTTTTATCCCTTTTTATACATCTCAATATTTCCATCAACACAAGATCTGTTGTGAATATGGTGAAGATCGGGCCCTTTCTTCTGGTACTTCCCCCCCCCCCACAAAGGGCATACCAGCTCTGTCGGTTCTCCCAAATTGAAATTTTACCAATTTTAGTATTTTTCGTCCAGATAAGTACACATTTTGAAAGCTACCTCTATATCCTTATCCTATACTCCGACAGTAATCTTTTCTCCAATTTTCAGGATTCCAGCTCTGTCGCTTCACCAAAATCCAAATTTAGTACACAATAGTACAATTTTTCAAAACTTCCTGCATACCCCAATCCTACACTCCAATAGTAATCTTATTTCCAAAACTACTTCCTTACATCGACCCTGCCTCTCAACCTTGATTCCCATTCCAAATTTCAAGTTTTTAGCTCTAACCATTCACATGATACGAAATGTTACGAAATGTAGTTCTTTTTAGTACTTTTCGTACTCTTATATTGCGAATTTCCAAAAACTAAATACAAAGGCTACGACATTTAGTACTTTTCGAACCATTTTAGTACTAATTTCCAAAAAACCAGCCTTGTATGACACCTTCGGAACAAGAGTGACCCTCCACCAAAATTTCAAGATTCTAGCTTCAGCCGTTTCGTCTGGGAGTTAATGAATCATTAAGTGAGTCGGACACAATTTGTCATTCTAATATTTCTAAAGAAATTTTTACAAATTCGGAATCATAGATTTATTAATTTTTCATTCAATAGGTCAATGTATTGCCTAGCTTAAAAACAATAAAACAAATACAATAACAACAACAACGTGTCACCATGATGATACTGCCGCTGCTACTGATAGATGATGATGACGATGATCCCACCAGTCATTCTTCTCCAGGCATGAGTGCAAAAACCCCAATACCGTTGCCCATCGACCCATTCCTGATAAGCGTTCCATGAAACAATGCCAAAAGCGAATGATATATAGAATGGAAGAAAGAAAACAAAAGGAGAATGTGCCTGGAAATGCTGTTAAGGCTTCTTCGGGCGATTGCATCAATTTCTTGTAGGCTATTCTTAAGAACGGTTGTGGAATAGATAGGGACGTGTTATTAAATTTAAAAATTAAACAGTTAAAAAAAAAAAAATAAATAAAAACAATTAATCCGGAGGAAAATCATGAAAATCAAAATATTATTGCTCATTATGGCTAGTTATGGCCTAAAAGCCACCAGCGGTTGTACTGAGAAAGTGTCGTAAGTCCGCTAACCCCACAATAATTTGTTAAAATTACCTAATTCCCCATCTCTTTTCTTTAATTTCACCCTACCCACCCCCTCCACAGTACCGTCAAACATCGTGTAACCTTGGTAACAATGCGCAAATATCCCGATCGTTGTGACTCTCTGGAATGCCCCTCAGGTTTGAATCCATTTGTGCTGCGACCGGTCAGAGAAACCTACACCGACATGGAAGAGGTCTGCTGTGAGGGTTATGAACGAGAAAGTGAATCTGGGTAAGTAGTAAGAGCAAGTGTGTGATAGCGTTTAATGGCCAGACAACCTAATTCGATTTTTTTTTGCTGTGGTGCCAATGTGCTCGCTATTTAGTGTTATCAGGAAATATGTGAGTCATTGGGTTTGGCTGGGTGGAAATCGTATTTTTTTCTGAACAATGGAAAGTGCAAACACAAAAAATTAGAAATTTGAATTCTAGTTTCAAATGTCTAAAATCGTATTTAAACATAGATTTTTTTTACAATTGACAACGCCAAATACCAAATTATGGCTATTTCCTTTGAGAGATGTTACCAAACCATTTGGAAAGTTAGATAAAAAAGTGAAAATTTTTTTTGTTTAAACATTTGACAAATCAAGGAAAGTTTTTTTTTGTGTAAAAATAATAGCTATTTCCGTATTTGAACCTACTTCAAAATATCTTCAATCTGGTGGTAGTTTATTGGGTGCCGGTAATTACAAAATGGAAATGGGTGGCGCCAATAACGCGCGACAACAAACATTTTTTCCCTAAGGAATCTACAATATCTGGCCAGGAAACTGAAGAGAACTTTAAAAAACAATATTTTTTTCTTAAGAAACAGGTCATTGAAAAGCAGGATTTTGACCAAGAGTAAGGGTCAACGACTTATTAAAAAAAATTAGTCCTTAAAAATGCCTATTATTTTCATTTTGCCTTAAACAATTCGAGATTTATGAACAGGGATTTTAAAAAAATATTCCGGAGAAAAAAAATTTCGTCCTGGCAATTTTTTGAATACCCTGCACCACTTGGAACAAATTAAAAAATTAATAAAAAATAAAATATATTAAAATTTTAAAAAAAACCAAATCTTGCCGTTATTTTGGGATCTATACGACGACATGGACCTGCATAGGAAACTTTGTCATAAGCCATTTAAATATTCAAATGCGAAATAAAAAAAAAAATCGGTGAACAATGTAGTTAATTCATCAAAATACCGATTATCGAGAGGTACCGTTATGTCGGAGCTGTGCGGAGTCCTAGGCCAGCATAGACAATTTTCTGTCACAGGCTGTAGCATCCATTACGAACTTCAAATATGACATATCAAACAATTTCGTTGGATATTGTACCTAAAATAGCCAAAATACCGAATATAGGGAGGTACCGTTATATCGGAGCTGGACCAGCAAACACAATTTTCTGTCACAGACTGTAGCATCCATTACGAACTTCAAATACGACATATCAAACAATTTTCTGTCTTAGACTGTAGTATTTATAACGAACTTTAAATGCCAAATTTAAAACAATTCTGTTGAATAATGTCGCTAAAATCAGCAAATCACCGAAAATAGGGAGGTACCATTATACATATTTCCCTGAAGTCCTCATTTTATGTTTAAAAAAATATCAGTCATGAAATATTTATAAAAAATTTATGTTTTTTAGGGAGTTCTCAAGAATATCCGCAATTTTTGTTCGAGAAATCTTACAAAATTGTACTCAAATAAAAAAAATTAATAAATAAATAAATAAAAATTGTGACTTGGGAAGTCCTGAAACTTTTTTTAATCCACCATTTTTGTGCTGCCATTTCTAAAAGGCTGTTCTTTTTTTAATGTCCTTTTTCTTGAAACTCTGACAAATTTAGTTAAGAAATATTCTTAAAATGTTTGCTTTTCATATAGCCGGAATATATTGGGCGCCAAGTTTTTTTATTGATTTATTTAATATTTTTTTTCCAAACGAAAAATATGTAGAAAAAAAATTATTATTTAGAAAGACCCTGAAAATATTTTTAAAAATCTATAAAAAAATGTTAGGAAAAAATCTATGGTCTATACAAATACAAAGAGTTGTTGAAAAATATTTAAAACAAGGGCCAGGCCAAACTTTTAATACCCTCCACCTTACGGTAAAGGAAACATTAGAGCCCACTATAACCCGCAGATACCAATTTTTAGACATATTCATGAGAAAATGTGTCAAAAATCATCAAAATACCGAATATCGGGAAATACGGCTATATGGGGCTATACAAAAACGTGGACCTATGCATACAATGTTTCGCCAAAGGAGCTAGAACCCATTAGGACCCACAAATACCAAGTTGTAGACAAATCCGCAAATGAATGTGGCAAAAACCATCAAAATGCCGAATATCGGGAGGTACCGTTATATGGGGGCTATACCAAATCGTGGACCTATACATACAATGTTTTGCCACTGGATCTAGAACCCATTAGGTCCCACAAATACCAGACAAATCCGTGATTTTTTTTTATCAAACATTCTAGACACAATGCCCGTGAAGATAAATTTTAAAATATAAATGCAATGTGTTGGTGCGCAAGGGGTTAATTGAAAAATAGTTTTTTTTTTAATATTAATTAAATTAATTTAACAGGAAAATGACACAATTTCCCGACGAGGACGAATAACCAGAGTGGCGGTTTTGGTAGGAAAACTGCATGGAAAATGCTGAATTACACAAAAACTATGCTAGCTGCGTCATTGAGGCGGGTCTTAAATGAAAGGTCTCGAGGAGTACTTTCTGGCTATATATGCCTTATATTCCCAACTGATTTCAGATAATCGAATTTTTTCGATTTTCTAACCAAAGTGGCGGTTTCGATAGGGAAACTGCACTTTGGAAATTGTGTCATTTTCCTGTTAAATTAATTTAATTAATTAATTTAAAAATACGTTGATTTATCCAAAAAAAAAATGGTAAAAATCATTAATATTAAAAAAAAATTTCAATTAACCCCTTGCGCACCAACATATTGCATTTATATTTTAAAATTTATCTTCACGGGAATCTAGACACAATACAAATTATTCTGCTAAATTTCGACGCTCTACATCAAATAATGTGGCCTGTATCGTGATTTCAACAGACAGACCGACGGACAGACAGACAGATGGACATCGTTAAATCGACTTAGAATTTTATCATGAATATATATACATCATGGGGACTACGACGAATATTTAAGGATATTACAAACGGAATGACAAAGTTAATATACCCTCATATACAAGGTGGAGGGTATAAAACATTTTAATTAATATCCACTTATTTTTTCCTGCAAAAATTATCCAAGGCCTGCATCGAAAATCCAACACCAATCAATTAAAAATAATAAATTTTGTACCATTTATTAACCTTTGTACTATTGTGGTACTAATTTCCAAAAATAACTCCAAATTTCAGGACATCACTTCAAATTGAATTGGTACAAAACTTAGTTCCATTTAGTGCACATTAGTAGGGATTTTCAAAGCTCCCTACACACCTCAATCCTACACTCCCACAGTAATGCCAATTCCAAATTTCAGTATTCCACCCTATCATACAGTCCCATAGATATGTTATATCCAGCTCTATCGGTTCACCACAATTCCAACTTGTACACATTTCAATACCATTTGGTATACATTTCCATAACAACCTGCATCATACAATGCAATAGAAATTGTATTTCCTAATATCAGGATTCCAGCCCTTTCGTTGCACCCAAATCCAAATTGTTCCAAATTTAGTACTATTTAGTGCACCTGAGTACGAATTTACAAAGCTTTCTACAAACCACAATCCTACACTCCAACAGTAATCTTAATTCCAAATTTCAGGATTCCAGTTATATCGGTTCACCTCAACCCAAATAGTCCAATAGAAATCTTATTTTTCAAGAAAATTTTCAAGATAACAACACTACCGGTTCGCCTAAAATTTAAATTGTACCAACTTTAGTACAACTTAGCACGCATAAGTACGATTTCCCAAAACTAGCTACATTTCTCAGTCCTAAAATGCAATAGTAATCAATCGGTTTACACAAATCGAAATTTTAGTAAATTTAGTACCATTTAGTACTTTTCGTGCACATAAGTACAAATTTCGAAAACTGTTTCCATATCCCATTTCCACACTCCTCCAGTAATGGTAATTTAAAATTTCAGTTTTTCAGCTCTATCCGTTCCTCCAAAAATAAAATCAGCGACCCTCATTCTAAATTCTAGCTCTACTGCTTCCTAAAATACAAAGGAAATCATACATGGTACCTTTTCATACTTTTCGTACCGTTCTGGTACTGGCCCTCTCTTACCCTTTCGGCCCAAATTTTCCAGATTCTAGCTTCAGCTGTTTGGTCTGGGCCCGGATGATTTATTAAGTCAGTCAGTGAGTCAATTAGTCATTTACTTTACTCGTTTTTTAATAAAGGTAGATTCCACAATTTGTATGCCCAAGAAGTCCTTGAAAAATATTTTCGAATATTTACGATTTATGTCGAAAATATCCTAAAAGTCCTTGTGAAAATTCTACAAACATTCCTAATTCTTAGCTAAGAATTTTTTGAATTATTCTTAAAAACAGTGACTCATTGTCTTCTCTTCTCCTCTCATTTCAGAGCCTGTCTGGCGAAATGTGTCGACTGTAAGGGTGGACGATGTATCCGTCCCGGTATATGCCTCTGCGCCATGGGTTATAGTAATCTGCGGAACGAAACAATTTGTGAGCCGGTGTGTAGTGAACCCTGTGTCAATGGTAAATGTATTGCGCCTGATGTGTGTGAATGCCAGAAGGGTTCGCACTTCGTGACGGGCAGTTCGAACGAGTGTGAATATGACTGTGACAAGGGTGTGGATTGTGAGAATGGTCATTGTAGTGCCAACGGAGAATGCCAGTGCAACGACGGCTATCGCAGGGATGAAAAACAGCAACGCTGTGTGCCCGTCTGTGAGGAACCCTGTTCGAATGCCATGTGTACGGCACCGAATGAGTGTACTTGCTGGGCGGGTTACAAACTACGCCTGGGTTCGATAAGTCAATGTGATCCGGTGTGTTCGAGCGGTTGCACCAATGGGGTGTGCAAGGCACCCGATGTGTGTGAATGCAAGGAGGGCTATATGAACTTTGGCAGCATTGAATCGCAGGGTTGTATTCCGGTGTGCCGGGACAAATGTGTGAATAGTTTTTGTACGGCGCCCAATCAATGTACCTGCTTCGAGGGTCATGCCTATCGTAATCGTTCGCGTAGCATTTGTGAACCCACCTGCCCCAAGGATTGTGAAAATGGTTTTTGCAGTGAACCGGGTCTTTGTGAGTGCCATGAGGGTTATGAAAAAACCGAACCGCATCGTTGTTCGCCCATATGCAAAGATGAATGTGTGAATGGTTACTGTTCGGCTCCGGATACGTGTAAATGTCATGAGGGCTATATTTATGCCGATAGCAAGGAGAAGGTCTGTGAGCCGCTCTGTACCAAGGGTTGTCGCAACGGCAACTGTACCTCGCCCAATGTTTGTACCTGTAATCCAGGCTATCAACCTCTGCTATTCTATCATTGCATTCCCATTTGCCGTAAACCCTGCATACATGGCACCTGTACAGCTCCGGACACCTGTCGCTGTTTCATGGGCCACAAGCCCAATCCCGCTAATCCAAATCAATGTGATCCGATTTGCAATTTTGATTGTGATCATGGCAAGTGTATTGCCCCGGGAACGTGTAGCTGTGATCCGGGTTATGAAAAGAAATGGGTGACGGGAAAATGTGAGCCGCACTGTCCCCAGAAATGTGTGAACAGCATTTGTTCGGCCGGAGGTGTTTGTCGCTGCTATGAGGGCCATAAGTTGCGTGAAGGATCAAAATCTATTTGTGATCCGGTCTGCAACCCCTCCTGTATCAATAGCAATTGCGTGGAACCGAACACCTGTGAATGCTGGGACGGCTATGAGGAGACCAAACAATCGAATCTTTGTGTGGCCCATTGTCGGCCGTACTGTGAGAATGGTGTGTGCGTGGCGCCCAACAAATGTCAATGCCACGAAGGCTATAGAGTAGCGAATGCCAGCACTCCACACAGTTGCCAGGCCATTTGCAAGGAAACATGCATCAATGCCGAATGCCAGCAGCCAAATAAATGTGTCTGCCTCGAGGGTTATCGTTTCCTAAACAACAGCACGGTGGAGTGTGAACCGATTTGTGAGCAATCCTGTGAAAATGGTTACTGTGTGGCGCCCAACACTTGTAGCTGTAAATCGGGATTTGTATCGCGCAATAATCCCGATACGGGATATAATGAATGTGTTGGCTTCTGCAATGAATGGAATTGTCGTGGTGGTAGCTGTTCCTCGTCAACGACGTGTGAGTGTCCCGCGGGTATGGTGTATGAAGTACTGCGCGGTATGTGTATGGCCGAGAGTGTGGAGAAGGAACGACTTTTTAATGGGTAAGATTGGAAATTTGTGGTAGTAGCAAGTAAAAAAAACTGTAAGTTCGGCCGGACCGAACTTTAAATATCCTCCACCATTTGGAACGAATTTGGCAATTCTCATAAACAATAAAATCCGTTAAAAATCAGTTAAAATTCTGTTAAAATCTTAAAATTACCGAATGTAGCTGTTATATTAGGTCTATACGACGACATGGACCTGCATAGGTAATATTTGTCATAAGCCATTACAATATTCAAATGCGAAACATAAAAATGCGAACCTAAAATTGCTTATAAGTCGATAAAATCAAAATAGCGAATATCGGGCGGATGTTATACGAAGACGTGGACCTGCACAGATAATTTTCTGGCATAGGCTGTAGTATCCATTACGAACTTCAAATACAAAATGTAAAATAATTCCGGTAAATAATGTCGCTAAAATCATCAATATACCGAATATCGGAGGTTCCGTAATATGGAGGCTATACGAACACGTGGACCTGCACAGACAAATTTCTCTCATTTTTGGATTTGTACGAAATGGTCACCTTTGGCACGAAATATGGCCTTCAAACGGCCAATGAAACCGTAACACGCTGCCCGAATGTTGCTCTGCGGTATTTTGGCCCATTCCCGGCAAAGCGCTTGCTTGAGGCGATCGACACTTAGTCGATTTTTAGTGCCAACCTTGCTTTCCAAAATACTCCAGAGACAATAGTCCAACGGATTCCGGTATCCGGATATTTTGGTGGGCATTGTGCGCTGGAAATAAAGCGAGGAACCTCATTTTGTAATCATTCTCTTTTTGAATGTCCAAAGTCTGCGGCTAAAATTTTTGCGTGCCCCAAGGCTTTAATACAACCTTCAGAATATTTTCGTGATAACATTCGGCATTTATTCTGATGCCACGCTCAATTAATACGAGCGTACAGCGACCATCGGCTGGCTGTTATGGCGGCCCACACCATCACCATAGCCGGCGCTTGAGTTCTGTTCTGGTGGCGAACCGAAGGTGTATATTTTCAGCTGACCTCTTTGGCAAGTAAACACGATCATTTCGCTTGTTTACAAACTGCAGGACAACGAATATTTTCTCATCGGAGAGAGAGAAAACCAACTTCGGCAGTTCACCACTCGGCACTCGGCCAAGCGTAGCAACTCTTTAGCTCTTTTGAGTCTATTTTCTTTCTGTTGCGTTGTATGTTCTTTTTGGAATTTAATGGCTTTACCCCGAGCTCATTTTTCAATATTTGCCGAATGGAATATTGCGATATGTTCAGCTTACGAGCCATTTTTCGGCCACTGCGACGCGGGTTGCGATCAAGTCGCTGCTTTTCTTTTCGAACCATTTCTGCTGATGTTGCTGTTTTCTTCCGTTCACTTCCCTGACGTCGGTCTACGCTACCAGTATCACGATAGCGAGCAATGGTACGAGACACAAAAGATTAATTCACATTTAAATGCTGGAGTGCTCTAACGACAGCCACGTGTGGTTTTCCAGCCAAATATAAAGAAATCACACTATCACGCTTGAATTCCATCACGACTAACTTTTTTCCTGGAAAATTCTCACCAAAATGCTTTTGTACGCTTGTAAACAATATAATGAGCTGTCACTGTAATAATTTTAACAGCTTTCGGGCGAGTGGCTTAGAAATGACAGCAGTCTGGTTGCAGTTTTTTCATCTCACCCTGTATATTAAATTTTGCAAACAATATTTGTTTGGCCCAAGGACAAACTCTATTGAATTTGGTGATAATCGGATAACATTTAGATATAGCTTCCATATATTTTCAAACGATTTTGAGTAAATTGGGCGCCTTATGGCTAATATGTGTCCAAATGACCCGTACATCCCACCGAATTCAGTCTAGAAGCAAGTATATTAAAAATCGTTTCGGAGAAAATCGGTTCTAATATCGAATCATCTCCCACATATATATTTCAGCCGATTTGGGGGTTTTAAATCTCTCACATGAGTATTATGCACTCCAGAAGAATGATAATTGGTACCGGAAATCAGATACTGCTCAAAAATATCTCTGTCAAATTTTATCAAGATTAGGATATAGCTTCCATATATATCATTATGCGATATCAGATTTATTGTTCACCGAATGGCTAATATCAGCCCAAATGCAATTAAGATTAATTTCGTCCTATAAACCAGTATTTCAAATTTGGTGTAAATCGGTTCAGATATAGCTATAGCTCCCACATATATGTGGTTTATTCGATTTGGGGTTTAAAGTCCCTCAAAAGCGTAATATGCATACAACAATGATCTTTGATACCAAATATCAAATACAGCTCCGAAATAAGTGTATCAAAAATTCGGACATAGCTCCCACTATATATCCTCAACCAATTTCGGGTTAATTATGCACAAAATGGCCAATAACAGTCCAAATGATCTGAATGTTGGCACATCGGACCAAATTCCGGATGAGAAGCAAGTCCATTAAATTCGGAGAAAATCGGTTCAGATATAGCTATAGCTTCCATATATATGTTTCATTCGAATTGGTATTTTAGCCCTTCACATTTGTAATATGCATTCGACAAAAATTATATTTGGTACCAGATATCTTTTAGAGCTCGGAAATAACTTTGCGAAATTTTATCGAGAACGGCAAAGATTTGGATATTTCTCCCATACATATCCTTAATCCGATTTCTGGTTTATTGTACAACTAATGGCTAATATAAGCCCAAATGGAGTGAATTTCGTCTCCGATATAAATTATTTTTATATAATCCTCCTCCAAGTGATATCATGCACTCTATAGCAACCTACAACTGCTCAAAAGCCAACTGTTAATAGATGGTATGAATAAATTCTTCTGTTACGGGAACTTTACTAAATATGTATAGTGGTGCATTGTCGGCCCCGCCCGACTTTTGACTTTTCCTTACTGGTGTTTCTTTTTTAATTTAAGACAAGTAAAAAAGCTATATGTTCGGACGGGCCGAACTTTGAATACCCTCCACAATTTTGAACGAATTTGGCAATTCTCAAAAACAATAAAATCCGTTAAAAATTCTGTTAAAATCTTAAAAATACCGAATGTAACTATTATATTAGGGTCTATACGACGACATGAACCTTCGTAGGTAACACTTGTCATAAGCCATTATAATATTCAAATGCGAAACTTTAAAAAAATCGATAAAGTTTAAAATGTCGATAAAATTTTAAATGTCCATAAAATCATTAAAATACCGATTATCGGTACCGTTATATGGGGGCTATACGAAGACGTGGACCTGCACAGACAATTTTTTTTGTCGCAGACTGTAGTATTCAATACGAACTTCAAATATCAAATTTGCAACAATTCTGGTGAAAAATGTCCCTAAAATCATTAAAATACCGAATATCGGGAAGTGGTGGACCTGCGCAGACAATTTTCAGTCATAGGCTGTATTACTCATTACGAACTTCAAATACTAAATTTGAAACGATTCTGGTAAAAAATATCCATAAAATCATTAAAATACCGATTATCGGGAGGTACCGTTATATGGGGGCTATACGAAGACGTGGACCTGCACAGACAATTTTCTGTCTTAAGCTGTAGTATCCATTACGAACTTCAAATAACAAATTTGAAACAATTCTGGTAAAAAGTGTCCATAAAATCATTAAAATACGGATTATCGGGAGGTACCGTTATATGGGAGCCTGACGAAGTGGTGAACCTGCGCAGACAATTTTCTGCCATAGGTTGTATTACCCATTACGAACTTAAAATACCAAATTTGAAACAATTCTGGTAAAAAATGTCCATAAAATCATTAAAATACCGATTATCGGGAGGTACCGTTATATGGGGGCTCTACAAACACGTGGACCTGCACCGATAATTTTCTGTCTTAAGCTGTAGAATCCATTATGAATTTCAAATACCAAATTTGAAACAATTCCTGTGAATAAATTCGCTAAAATCATTCAAAATACCGAATATCGGGAGGTACCGTTATGTTGGGGCTATACCGAAACGTGGACCTACATGGCCCATTTTCAATACCAAAAGTCCTGCAGACATAACATACATTTGAGCGAAATTTTATAAATCTACTTCATTTCCTTCGGAAGCTAGAGTGATTTCCACAGACGGACAGACGGACGGACGGATATTGCTAAATCGACATAGAATTGTATGCTGATCAAGAAAAAAAAAAGAATATATATATATATATATATATATATATATATATATATATATATATATATATAAGCATTGTAGCTTATATCTCCTTCCTTTGTATATATGCATTGTATATATTTCGCTATTTATATCCGATATATTTACTATCGGCATCTATGTAACCGTCAGAATTGACCTGTTCGTCTATTTCTGATTTCGCCGGGACTAAAAATATTTACGGTTTAATGGGAAATTTGACTTTTGTTTAGCACAAATGTTATTGTTTATTTCACCCACTAAATATTACTCTAGCCCCATGCTAACTTCCGCGTCAAATGGTCTATAATTGCGACCTATAGAACAACTGCAAAATCAGGAAATTTTTCAGTTTTCGGTCCATTTCAACCATTAATTCTAGTTTTTCTTAAAATATTTTTTCAATCATTCAAATATTCCAAAAATATATTTTAATTTTTAAAATAATTGTTAAATATTTAATTTTAAAAATTCTTTGGAATACTTCTTTTTAAAATATTAAAAAAAAATTATTATTTCATTCATCATTTTTTTTGAAAAATGTGCTTTTAAAAATTCGTTTTTCCCAAAACTATTTTAATAAATCCATGATTTTTCACCATACATTATATACATATACACTATGATTTTTTTACTATATTATTTTTAATTCTTTTTTACCACATTAAAAAAAAAATAAAATATTTCTTTTGAAAAAAGAAAATCGCCGATAAAAATCATTTAAAATAACTTTATAAATATTTTTAAAAATTGCTATTTTTATAAAATTTATTTTTTAATAATTTTTCTTTTTTTCTTTTCAAAAATATGTATTTATTAAAAAACTCATGGCTTTTGTTGACCGTTATTTTTAAAATTATTTCTTTAAATTCTTCCCTTTAAAATATTCTTTTAAATATTTCTTTAAAATTATTTAAAACAAAATAATTCAAAAATAGTTAAAAAATTACTTTGTTTTTTAAACTCTTTAAAAAAGTTTTTTCCCAAACTATTTTAAAAAATGCATTTTTTTTATTGTCCGTATGTATTTCGAATTATTCTTTTAGAATAATTGCAATTCGAATTATTTTATTTCTATTTCGAATTATTCCATATGAAATTAAAAATTGAATAATTTAAATTACAATTAGAAAAATTCGAATTACAAATAAAAAAAATCGAATTGTAATTGGAATTATCGAATTTCAATTTCATTTTCGAATCACTATTCGAATATTGAAATTTTAAAAATTAAAAAAAATCCAAATATTTCTTTAAAAAAAATTAGAAAATTGACGATGAAAAGATAATTAATTTTTTTTTTTGAATATTTAAAAAATAACAATTTTTGTTCGATTTTTAATATTTTTGAATTTTTTTCAAAAATATGTCTTTATTTTTAAAATAGTCATAATTTTTTAAAATATTCTTTCGATTCTTTCTTAAAAAAAACTAGATAAATAAAAAAAATAAATAAATAAAATAATAATAATTCAAAAATTGTTTCAAAAACACGTTTTTAAATAGTTTATAAAGGTTTATATACGGAATATATAGTTGCCTATGCCCCAAGCTGCCTCCTCACCAATTGTCTGCCTTATAGGCAAAGCCGTTCTTGAGTCAAAAACTAACACAACTTTCTTTTATATTTAAAGAGGTTTGAATTAAAAATTATTTATATCTATTTATAATTGGAATTCTCCAATTTCAATTTCATTTTCGAATCACTATTCGAATTTTGAAATTTCAAAACTTAAAAAAAATTCAAATAATTCTTAAAAATGTAGAAAATCGACGATGAAAAGATAAAAATTTTTTTTGAATATTTAAAAAATAGCAATTTTTTTCGATTTTTAATATTTTTGAAAAATGATTCAAAAATTTGTCTTTATTTTTAAAATAGTCTTAATTTTTTAAAATATTCGTTCGATTCTTTCTTAGAAAAACTAGATAAATAAAAAAAAATAAATAAATAATAAAAATAATTATAATTCAAAAATAGTTTCAAAAACACGTTTTTAAATAGTTTATAAAGGTTTATATACGGAATATATAGTTGCCTATGCCCCAAGCTGCCTCCTCACCAATTGTCTGCCTTATAGGCAAAGCCGTCCTTGAGTCAAAAACTAACACAACTTTCTTTTATATTTAAAGAGGTTTGAATTAAAAATTATTTATATCTATTTATAATTGGAATTCTCCAATTTCAATTTCATTTTCGAATCACTATTCGAATTTTGAAATTTCAAAACTTAAAAAAAAATTCAAATAATTCTTAAAAATGTAGAAAATCGACGATGAAAAGATAATTTTTTTTTTTGAATATTTAAAAAATAGCAATTTTTTCGATTTTTAATATTTTTGAAAAATGATTCAAAAAATTTGTCTTTATTTTTAAAATAGTCTTAAATTTTTAAAATATTCGTTCGATTCTTTCTTAGAAAAACTAGATAAATAAAAAAAATAAATAAATAATAAAAATAATTATAATTCCAAAATAGTTTCAAAAACACGTTTTTAAATAGTTTATAAAGGTTTATATACGGAATATATAGTTGCCTATGCCCCAAGCTACCTCCTCACCAATTGTCTGCCTTACAGGCAAAGCCGTCCTTGAGTCAAAAATAGTTAAACTTACACGATTTTCTTTTATATCTAAAGAATTTTGAATTAAAAATTATTTATATCTGCTTTAAAAATCTGCATGTATAGCTTCGATAATCCTGCATAAACATTTCTTTGAAAATTAAGGCATATAGGTAGTGAGAGATAGTTCATCTACAAAATTCTTTAATTTCTTATAAATTCCCTAATTCCCCAGGGGTGTTCCCGTTTCACGCTGGACCATAGCCACTGTGGCCATTATCCTGTTCGCTGTGTGTGTTTTGGCGCTGATTTTGATATTCCGTGAAATTGCCCATCGGAGAGTGCACGACAAGCAGCATGTGCGTTTAATTGAAAATCCTTCATTTGGTGTTCTACTGCCCAATGATCGCCTAGAGCATGAGGACGAAGATCGTTCCGATACCACACATGAATTGAGTACTTAATGGTGGAATCTCCCGGCAGAGAGCGGATCAATGTATATGAATTATGAGAAACAAGACTCAAAATTTTGAAATTAAAAATTTTAAAAATACAATTTTTTGAAAAATTTTATTTTATTATTTCCTATTTAATTTTTCGAAATCATATATATATTGCCATATATATAAGAAATTTTCAAAAATTTTGAAAATACATATTTTTGAAACTTTTTGTTGTTTTTTATTTATTTTTTCAAAATCATTTTTCTATTGCCAATTATATAAGAAATTTCCAAAATTTTTAAAAATAAATATATTGAAACTTTTTGTTGTTTTTTATTATTTTTTTAATATATCTATTGCCATATATATAAGAAATTTTCAAAAATTTTGCAAGTACATTTTTTGAAACTTTTTATTGTTTTTTAATATTTTTATATTTAATTTCTCGAAATTATACATATCTATTGCTATTTATATATGAGTATATCACTTGGTATATTGGGGGTTTTCTTTAATTTCTTTAATTTTCGTTACATATATATACATCCACGCATACACACAAATACATTACATGGTAAACACATTATCACACTTAACTTTAAATTAATCGTTTATACTTTAAGTACATTTTTTATTTTTGATTTTTTTTTATTAAACATATTTGTTTTAATTTATAATTAAATATCTTCGATTTCGTTTTGTGTTTTGTTTTTTTTTAATAAATAATAAATAAAATGCTTGGCATTAAATTATTTTATTATAATACTATTGTTTTGTTTTTATATATATGTATATAAATTGCATTTGTTAAATTATTAAATCATAACTTAATTATCTGTACACATAAATTGACTATATTAATTAGGGTAGGGTATCGTGGAGGTCTTAAATGGGCTTCTTTCTAAGAGAGTTTAAAAGTCCAGACAATGGTTTCACTTTTTAGGTTCGGGTTAAAAGTTGAAGCCAGACGAGTCTGGTCGTCTTAGATGGATCGCCCGTAAAATACTGAGTCTTGCTAACGCTCTTAAATAAATTTTTTCTCACACTCATCACGTATTTTGGTCTGGTCTCAAATTGGTCGACCCCGTCTGGTTTACGGATTTAACATACAAAGGTCAATGTGATGCCTACTTTCAGGAGAAAGACAATTTGTCATCAGTCTATTTAAAGAATAGATCAAAATTCCCATGCGACCCAAAACTGATCGCAAATCGATTTTCAACAAATTTGACGAATGCTTTCTTAGCTCTAGTACCAAATACCAAATACGATATAAATACTGCGACGTTCCAGGCTTGGACTACATTGGTTACTTCCATCAATTTTTATGAAATATGTGATAATTTTCAGAAAATGCTAAAATGTGCGCGAGGTGCCAGATATAGTCGACCGACGTATTCAATTTTCACACTTCATGTAATACAGATAAAAATATTGGTATGGGCAAAATTACAAAAAAATCGAACATTTATATACAATTTTATGCGGAATCATAAATTCGATATTCATGTCAGGTTTCTGGTTGAGAGAAATATTTAGATACAGCAAGTTGTAAAGAATCGCTGACTTTTTTTTCTCAAGTTATGACAGATAAAAGTATTAACAATTGCGATCCTTTGTTGCTGGGGTACCAGAAAGGGGTTCGCAGATATATATATCATCTTCACAACAGATCATGTGTTAGCAAAAATGTGTGTGTGTGTAAAATTTGAAGTGAATTGAATGCTTGATTCGCTTTATTTGAGCGTTTTGTTTTTCAAATCTTGTACCCTATGTGGGGAGGTACCACAAGATCCGATCTCTAACACATTTATAACCAATTTTGTGTTAATGAAAATATTAAGATGTACCAAGTCTAAATGGAATCGGATGTTAATTTCGCGTCTTATGAGCTCAATGGATATTCAACATTTTAACCCTTTGTATGGAAGGTATCATAAGGAGAGGACCGATATATTACATCTTCCTAGCAAATTGTGTGTTGGTAGAAATAATGGCATGAGTGAAATATGAAGAGAACCGGATGCTTATTTCGGATTTTATGGTCATTTTGGTTACTTAAAACGTTGACCCTTTGTGGGGGAAGTAACAGAACAAATGGTCCGATCTCTACCTCTCTCTCTTGCGTTGATGGAAATATTGAGATGTACCAGGTCTGCGTTTTATGACCTTCATGGTTATTCAAAATGTTGACCCTTTGTGGGGAAGGTACCAGAAGGAGTAGACCCAATATATCTACCATTTTCACACCAGACCTTGGATTCATGAAAATATTTCGATGCGTGCAATTTGAAGACAATCGGACTCTTACATCGCATTTTATAAGAGTTTTAATTATTCAAAATTTTGACCCTGGGGGAGGTACTTGATGGAGGGGACCGATATTTTCCACTTGACCTTCAAGATGTTACGATTTCTTTTTCTGTGTAGTAAAATATTTTTTTTTTTTTTGAAAATGTTACCATTTGTGTAGGAGTTACCAGAAGGAATGGACCAATATTGCCCATCTCCGAACTTGATCTAAGTTTGATATTAATATCTCGATGTACCAATTTTGGATCTTAAACCGTTATTTCGATGTTATTGGAGTAATATACAATACAGGACCGAATTTCGCTAAATGAAAAAATTCATTGAATATGAAAAAATCTATCCAATTTGGGCTGACATTACATATATGGAGAACAATAACCGTTATATTGAAAGAAGTTGTATATCTCAATTAATTTTTGACAGAGGTATTTTTGAGCAATATCTGATGTCCAGTATCAAATTTAATGTACTTGCTTATACAACAAATTCGGTTGGATGTGCCAAAATTCAGGTCATTTGGACTGATATTGGTCATTTCGAGCACAATTAACCAGAAATCGGAGTTCAATGGGGTTCGTTCTTGGACCAAAACATATTGTTTGGAAAAAATCATCTCAATCGGATAACAAATGCGTCCTGCATTTTGTTGACAAAAATACATGGAAAGACGGACGGACGGACAGAAGGACTTGCATGTATAAATCTTTTCAGAAAGTGGTTCTAGGAAGATCCTCAATAGTAACTTAAGGTCTATATCGCTTCCTTCTCCATATTACAAACAAAATGCACAAAGACATAATACCCTTACCACTATGTGGTGTGGGGCATAAAAAATCTCAGAGAAGGACTTTCAAAAGGTATTTTATAGAGCGAAGACCTTTTAAAAAGACATCTAAAGACAGACGACTTTTCAAGGGTCTTCTTTTAAGAGAGCAAGCCTTCTAGAAGAGTGACCTTTTCACAAACACAATTTTTTTTTTCAAAGTTTTCAAATCCTATAAAAGTAACTTTTTTAAACTGACTTCTGCCTTTAAAAGTCCTAAAAAACAGATTTTGTCAATGGAAGTCTTATGAAAGGACTGCAGTCTAACGGAAACCTTAAAAAGACAACTGTCTATTGAAGTCCTAAAAAAACCTTATGCCCATAGAACTCCTGTTAACAGACTTTTTAAAATGACCCAAAAAGAGCTTTCGTCGATGGAAGTTTTTTAAAGGAGTCCTTACAAAGTCTACTGTAGATAGATATCCTTAAAAAACAATTCTGTCTTTATATGTCCTTCGACACAACATTTGTTGTTTTTAAAGTTAATTTTAAGGACTATTGTCTAAAAAAAAGTTAAGTAACGTCTTCCCATGGAAAGGTCTTCCGTATCGAGAAGTCTCTTCAAATACCATGTTTTAATTAAAATCCACTAAAACGGATTTCAGTTTTCAGATGTTACTTAAATTTATTTCTGTCTATGGCTTTATATTCCGTCAGGGGACCACTCTAGACAGACGTCCGTTTGATAGGAATTACATGGACAAAATCAATATCAGAGAACTTTTATAGACAGATGGTCTTTACAAGGCACTTCTGTGGACAGACATGATTTCTAAGGACTTTTCAAAAACTGATAACAATTTTTAGGATTTCTTTGGAGGGACATCTATCTATTAAAGGACATCTATCGATAAAATCGGTTTATGAAGTCCACTGAATACAGAAGTAATTTTAATGAACTTCAAAGTCCTGAGAAAGGACAAAGACGGAAGACGAAAGAACTTCTACCGACATAGATCTTTCGAAGGACATTTAGAGGATGAGACAAACTTTTATTTGTAATAACTTTAGTAGACAGACAAAAATCCTCCTGCGGAAACTTGGCTAAACTTTGCCAAAGAAAAATCCAATGACGTTTATGAAAAGAAGATCTTTTCTTTTTTGACGAGACTTTCATTTAAGGGATGTCCTTGGAGGGTAGTTCTTTTAAAACGCATATATAGATAGAAAACGGATTATCGGGACTCCTATTGACAGAAGTCGTTTAAAACAGCTTATATAGACCGAAGACAACAAGATTTCCTTTTAAGGACATTTCAAAGGATTTTTATAGAAAGAGATCCTTTAAGGGCGCATATACAAATAGAAACTGGATTATCGACAGGTGTCCTTTAAAATTGCTTCTATGGACCGAAGAAACAAGTTTTTCTCTTAAGGACATAAGTCCTTCCAAAGGACTACTATAGAATGAGGTCCTTTTAAAGCACATATACAGATAGACATCGGATTATAGAAATTTATATAGACAGAAGTCCTTAAAACGACCGAAGGCAACACAATTTTCTTTAAAGGACATACGTCATTTCAAAGGACTACTATAGTATGAGGTCTTTTTTAAGCACATATCAAGGTAGACTTCCATAGACAGAAGTCCTTTAAAACGACTTATGTAGACCGAAGACAACACAATTTTCTTTAAAGGACATAAGTCCTTTTAAAGGACTTTTATAGAAGGAGGTTCTTCTTAAGCACATTTACAGATAGAAATCGGTTTATCGAGACTTCAAGATACAGAAGTCCTTTAAACCGACTTATGTAAACCGAATACAACAAGATTTTTGTTCAAGAACTTACGTCCTTTCAAAGGACTCGTACGGAATGAGGTCCTTTTGAAACACATATACAGATTGAAATCGGATAATCGAGACTTTTAGATATAGAAGTCCTTCGAAACGACTTGTATAGACCGAAAGCAACAAGATTTTTTTTTTTTGGGGACATAAGACCTTTTAAAGGACATTTACGAAATTAGGTCCTTCTTAAGCACATATACAGATAGAAATCAGATTATCAAGACTCCTACAGACCGACGTTCTTTGAAACGGCTTATATAGACCGAAAACAACAAGATATTCTTTTAAGGGCATAAGTCCTTCCAAAGAACTTCTATAGAATGAGGTCCTTTTAAAGCACATATACAGGTAGAAATCGGATATTTGAGACTTCTACAGACAGAAGTCCTTCTTAACGACTTATATATAGCGAAGACAACAATATTTTCTTTTAAGGATAAGAGTCCTTCGAAAGGACTTTTATAGAATGAGGTCCTTTTGAAACACATATACTGATTGAAATCGGATTATAGAGACTTTTAGATACAGAAGTCCTTCAAAACGACTTGTGTAGACCGAATACAATAAGATTTTCTTTAAAGGACATAAGTCCTTTCAAAGTACTTTTATAGAATGAGGTCCTTTTAAATCACATATACAGATAGAATTTGGTTAATAAAGGCTCCTATAGATAGAAGTCCTTTTATTCATTTGATTTTCTTTTAAGGACATAAGTTCTTTCAAAGGACTTCTATAGAATGAGGTCCTTTTAAAGCATATATACAGATATAAATCGGTTTATGGAGGCTTCTAGAGACTGAAGTTTTTTGAAATGACTTCTATAGACCGAAGGCAACAAGATTTCCATTAGAGGACATAAGAACTTTCAAAGGACTTTTATAGAATTAGGTCCTTTTGAACCAGATATGCAGATAGAAATCGGATTATCGGGACTTCCAGAGACAAAAATCCTTTAAAACGACTTGTGTAGACTGAAGACAACAAGATTTCCCTTAAAGGACTTACGTCCTTTCCAAGGACTTTTGTTGAATGAGGTCCTTTCAAAGGAATTTTTTAGACGGAAGAACTTCTAAAGACAAAATTATTTTTTAGGACTTCTGGATAGACATCCTTTAAGGACTTTTAAAGACTGAATTCTTTTTAAGAAAAAAAAAAAAAAAAACTTAGAAACGCGGATCCCTCACCCCTACCCTACCTTCTATTTTCTACCTTAGACCTATTGCGAAACATTGTTCTTAGAGAAAAGCTTCTTTATTACCGATTGATCTAAAAAATATTGTCCTCTTTTGCTGTGACGGTTTCTGTTGTGGCTGCTGCTCATATTTACCCCGTGGTCATGGCGGTTTATCCTGGGGTTCAGGTGGCTGCAGTTGGGGCGGTGGTGATAGGGGTGTGGTCTGGGTCTGAGGTGATTGGGGAGTATCGTTTTTACAATTACTACTACTATTACTAGGATGTGAGGTATTGGCCGCGGCAGCCGTCGATGTTGAGGGGCCATTATTCGAGGAGATTACCACCGCCTTGACCGTAAACGGTTGTTGGGGATGGGATTTTTGTAGGGCAGCATAAAGGCCGGTGTATTCGGGACTTAAACCCGAATCGCCATCCTCCATGACAACTGAGCTGTCGGCTGCTGACGGTATGGTGGGCAGGAAACGTACACCCAGTCGAGGTGGTGAGGAGTCCTCTTCCTCCTGGACAGCTTCTTGACGTACCAAACGGGGTTTGGGTAGCGTCGAAGAGAACTGATGTTGTTGATGTTGTTTATTGGGGTGGGCTGCAGTGAAGAGAGAGAGAGAGAGAGAGAGTGTGAGTATTTAAAAAATGAATTGAGAAAACATTCCTCATACTTATTATCGAAGGCAGGGGAGTGGTACTTCCCGCACTAGATCTCGAGAGACGAAACGTTGAGGTACTCGCCGTTGTGGCCGATGCCGAAGAGTCATTGCGCGAGGAGGACAAATTCGAATCCTGTGACGTCTTGCGCGTAATCAACCACGTGGAATGCCTTCTACGATTGGGATCCATCATTTTCATGGGTATCGAACAGGTATGGCCATGGGCATGGCCCGTCATGTGAGGACCCGTCACATTGCCATTACGCCAGCTGGATGAGCGAGAGGAGCAGAAATTCTCACTGGAAATGGAACTGGCCCTCAGCTGCTTCTTCTGTTTCATTTCCGAAAAAGGATATTGGTAGGGATCGTTTTTATTGCCTCGACTGGCACGACCACGCCTCTTATCCAGGCGCTGAGGCCTATTTCGCTCACAACAGGTGACACAGCAAGAGCACCAGGACCACAGCTTTTGCCAGCTACGCGACCATATGGAACCCTCCTTTTCTTGCATCCGATGCCAGATGGGCATTTCGCCAGGCATCATGCGCAAACATCTGCATCCCGGTGGATGAACAGCTGGCAGCAGGGGTGGCAACTCTTTGGGTAAACGCTCCGCTGTCATACCTCGACCCCTGGCCATGGCTCCGGTGCCTCTTGTCACCCTCGTCTCTTCGAAATGTTTACACAGATTTACACAATCCTTTTTGAACTGCTTCGTCATGATGGCATAGAGAAAAGGATTGCAACACGAATTCAGAGGCAAAATGAAGACCGTGAAAATCTTAGCCTGTTCCAGGGAGATCAGCTGCAAACCAAAAATGGCCGTTATCGAGAAGAAGGCAATCGGCGACCAACATAAAAAATCTGTAAACACCAGCAAAGCCATTCTCTTGGCTATCCTCGAGTCATTGGTATTCCATGCCTGCGAACCCCTAATGGCCCAATACATTTTCAAATAACAGCCCATTAGGGTCAGAAAGGCACAACCATTGATGAACATTAAAGCTATGACATAAGTCAGGCTGGCAATGCCTGTCGTCGTCTCAAACGGTAAACATACGGCGAATTTACGATAATCGGATACTCCAACCAATGGCAGTACAGCCATGACCAGGGCAAAAGTCCAGCCAACCACCATAATATAGGCAGCCTGTTTCAAGGACAAACGCTTGTTCAAATGTATGGCATGGGTGATGGCATAGTTTCGCTCCAACGTAATCACCGCCAGGGTGTAGACCGAAAGCTCCGACGATAGCACGGCCAGGAATCCACCAATTTGACACATTACCGACATTTGCCAGGGGATGGCAAACATACGAAACTCTCCCAACGTCGAGGCATCCACAATGGCCAAAATACCCAAATAGACACCCATGAAAAAATCCGCAGCTGCCAGATTGCAGACCAAAAATCGCGGGACATCCATTTTTGAACGGGAAAATATCAAAACAAATACCACCGTACCATTGCCCAGCAGTGCCAAGAGGAAAACCACCCAGACACCACAACGTAATGTCCACCAATCAAATAGATCGGCACAGGGTAAGAATGGACCCGGCATGGGTAAACATTGTATACTTCCGGGCGTATGTTCAGTTCCGATTGTGGCGAAAAGACCACCACCACCAAAGGAGGTGGCAAACGTACTGGCTGTTCCCGTGGCCGTTTGCATGCCTCCTGTACCGGTACCAGTACCCGTACCAGCGCCTTCCTCCTCAAAATACTCTTCCATGTAGGTGGGTATATTTCCAGGATAGGTAAAATCCTGGCCAAAGTTATCCCAAATATCATGCATTTCGGTGCCGAATTTTTTACTCAGGTTATCTGAAAAGAAGAAAAATAAATGGAAATAAAGTTTTTAAAAGGGATGCTTGGAAGAGAATTTTATTTCAATGAAATTCCACTGGCCGAAGGTCCTGGAATCCAGGTATATTTGTCCTTTGGTCCTTCAAAAAAATATTTTTTTAAAAAATCCCAGTAAATGTGTCCTTAAGTCCTTCAAAAAATATTTGTCAAAAAATATTTTTTAAAAAATCCCAGTAAATGTGTCCTTAAGTCCTTCAAAAAAATATTTTTCAAAAAAATATTTTTCAAAAAAAATATTTTTTAAAAATCCACGTTTATTTATCCTTGAAAAAAAATATTATTTTAAAATCCACGTTTATTTGTCCTAGAAAAAAAAAATTCTTTTAAAATCCTCGTTTATTTATCCTTGAAAAAAAAAAAATATTGCAAAAAATCCACGTTTATTTCACTTTGAAAAAATATTGTTAAAAATCCAAGTTTATGTGCCCTTTGGTCCTTGAAAAAAATATTGTAAAAAAATCCACGTTTATTTCACCTTCAAAAAAAAATATTGCAAAAAATCCACGTTTATTTCACTTTGAAAAAATATTGTTAAAAATCCAAGCTTATGTGCCCTTTGGTCCTTGAAAAAAATATTGTAAAAAAATCCACGTTTATTTCACCTTGAAAAATATTGTTAAAAATCCATGGTCCTTGAAAAAAATATTGTAAAAAAATCCACGTTTATTTCACCTTGAAAAAATATTGTTAAAAATCCATGTTTATGTGCCCTTTGGTCCTTGAAAAAAATATTGTAAAAAAATCCATGTTTATGTGCCATTTGGTCCTTGAAAAAAATATTGTAAAAAAATCCACGTTTATTTGGTCCTTGAAAAAATATTCTTTAAAAAAATCCACGTTTATTTGGTCCTTGAAAAAATATTCTTTAAAAAATCCACGTTTATTTGGTCCTTGAAGAAATATTCTTTAAAAAATCCACGTTTATTTGGTCCTTGAAAAAATATTCTTTAAAAAATCCACGTTTATTTGGTCCTTGAAAAAATATTCTTTAAAAAATCCACGTTTATTTGGTCCTTGAAAAAATATTCCTTAAAAAATCTAAGTTTATTAGTCCTTTGGTCCTTGAAAAAAATATATTTTAAAAAATCCACGTTTATTTGGTCCTTGAAAAAATATTCCTTAAAAATCTAAGTTTATTAGTCCTTTGGTCCTTGAAAAAAATATATTTTAAAAAATCCACGTTTATTTGTCCTTTGGTCCTTCAAAAAAAATATATTTTAAAAAATCAACGTTTATTTGTCCTTTGGTCCTTCAAAAATATATATTTTAAAAAATCCACGTTTATTTGTCCTTTGGTCCTTCAAAAAAAATATATTTTAAAAAATCCACGTTTATTTGTCCTTTGGTCCTTCAAAAATATATATTTTAAAAAATCCACGTTTATTTGTCCTTTGGTCCTTCAAAAAAAATATATTTTAAAAAATCAACGTTTATTTGTCCTTTGGTCCTTCAAAAATATATATTTTAAAAAATCCACGTTTATTTGTCCTTTGGTCCTTCAAAAAAAATATATTTTAATAAATCCACGTTTATTTGTCCTTTGGTCCTTCAAAAATATATATTTTAAAAAATCCACGTTTATTTGTCCTTTGGTCCTTCAAAAAAAATATATTTTAAAAAATCAACGTTTATTTGTCCTTTGGTCCTTGAAAAAAAATTTCTTTAAAAAATCCACGTTAATTTGTCCTTTGGTCCTTGAAAAAATATTTTTTAAAAAATCTAGGTTTATTTGTCCTTTGGTCCTTGAAAAAAATCCTTTGGTCCTTGAGAAAAAATATTCTTTAAAAAATCCACGTTTATTTGTCCTTTGATCCTTGAAAAAATATTCTTTAAAAATCCAAGTTTATTTGTCCTTTGATCCTTGAAAAAATATTCTTTAAAAATCCAAGTTTATTTGTCCTTTGATCCTTGAAAAAATATTCTTTAAAAAATCCACGTTTATTTGTCCTTTGATCCTTGAAAAAATATTCTTTAAAAAATCCACGTTTATTTGTCCTTTGGTCCTTGAAAAAATATTTCAATATTTACTTACGCAGCTGTGGCCATATATCCATCATACTATTGTTCCACAAACTCATATCGAACTCTGCATCGGAGGGGAACAGCACCGCCTCCTGTACTAGTGGTGGCTTTTTGCTGGCCGACATTGCCACAAGCGGTATAAATGGGCAACAATGATAGGCGTAGGAGAGTATCAGTGTCTGGATACGAGGAAATGTTTCGGGTGAGGGGAAGTTACGTAATTTTGGATTATTGAAGGTTTTGAGATGCAGCAGTCGCTGTAGACCATTCGCTGGCAGCTCCGGAAAGATGTTATTGCCCAAATTTAAATCCTCCAACGAGGAGAAGCCCACAAAGGCATCTTTGTGGATGGAGGAGATTTGATTACCTTCTAGATCTCTGGAATGGTTAAGTTGGTAGTTTTAATAGAGAGATTTAAAAAAATAAAAAGAGGATATTAAATATTTGGACAAAAGAATGTAGGATGTAAAAAAAATTATATAAAATGAAAAATAAAAACCAGTAAGAAAAAGTCAAAAGTCGGTCGGAGCCGACTATATGATACCCTACACCACTATGCATATTTAGTAGAGCTCCCGTAACATAAGAATTTACTTGAAGTAGATCAAACCACCTATCAACATTTGCCTTTAGAGAAGTGAAAATTTGGTTTCAGAGGGATCTAATATATGGAAGGCATATCCAATTCTGAATCGATTTTCACTAACATTGCTATAGAGCGCAAGATATTACTTCGCGAAGCATTATGCAGGGTGAGATAAAAAAATGCCACAAAGTCAAACGCCACAATTTTTATTATTTTTTTTTTTAATTTTATTGAATGAAAGCCAAATATGTCGGAAATAGCAACAAATTTTACAACAAGTTTAGATTTGTTCGAATTGGTCACCTTTGGCACGAATTTTGGCCCATTCCCGGTGAAGCGCTTGTTTGAGGTGATCGGCACTTTGGTATTTTTTAGTGCCAACCTTGCTTTCCAAAATACTCCAGGCACAATATTACAACGGATTGGTATCCGGAGATTTTGGTGGCCATTGTGCGCTGGAAATTAAGCGAGGAATGCCTTGGGTGGTGGCGTGCTGAGTGAGAGGGTACTGAGTCCTGTTGGAATGTCCAAGGTCTGCGGCCAAACTGTTTTCGTGCCCAAGGCTTTAATAAACCCTCCAGAATATTTTCACGATATTATTCGTCATTTATTCTGATGCCACGGTCGATTAATACGAGCTGAGAGCGACCACCGGATGTTATGGCGACCCACACCATAAGGTGGTCAGGGTACTATGTCTTTGCGTATCTGTTTGTAACAGGCAAAAGGAAACTATATAGACCCGTAGTTCCTTTTGATGATCTGCATAGAATCACATTCTACAGTACAGTTCGCATTTATAAAATTTTGCACAAGTCATTTGTTTGGTCCAAGGACGAACCTTATTGATATTGGAGATTATCGGTAAAAATTTAGATATAGCTCCCATATATATTTTCGTCCGATTTGCCTTTTATTGTGCACCAAACGTGTAATATCAGCCCGAATTCTATGAAATTGCACATACAACCAAATTAGGCCTGAAAATAAGTATGAAAAATTTTATCGAAATCAGTTCAGATATAGCTATAGCTCCAATATATATTGTTCATCCGATTTGTTATTTTAGTCCTCCGCAGCCGTAATATGCTCTCCGTAACAACGATATTCAAGGAAATATATCAAATACAGCTCAGAAATATCTTTGCCAAAATTTATCGAGATCGGTTCGGATTTGGATATATCTCCCATATATAACTTCGTCCGATTTAGCTTTTATTGTGCACCAAATATTTGCCCAAATGGGATGGAATTTGGCACTTACGACCGAATTGAGTCTAGAAACTAGTATGCCAAATTAGGTGATGATCGGTTCAGATATAGCTATAGCTCCCATATATATATTGTTCATCCGATTTGTTATATTTGTTACCCACCGCCGTAATATGCACTGTGACTGTGCACCAAACGTCAAATATTTGCCCAAATGGGATGAAATTTGACACCTGCGAACGAATTGAGTCTAGAAGCCAGTATGTCAAATTTGGTGAAGATCGGTTCAGATATAGCTATAGCTCCTATATATATTGTTCATCCGATTTGTTATATTTGTTACCCACAGCCGTAATATGCACTCCATAACAACGATATTCGGGGAAATATATCAAATACAGCTCAGATATATATTTGCCAAATTTTATCAAGATCGGTTAAGATTTGGATATAGCTCCCATATATATATATATATATATATATATATATATATATATATATATATATATATATATATATATATATATATATATATATATATATATATATATATATATATATATATATATATCAAATAGGCAATACAAGTCCGAATTTAAATGATACAAATGCTTCGACATATTTAGTCCTTTGAACTTTAAATTATACTTATAATCATAGCTTGTATGATTGAATTCTCCCATAAAAACTCTTAATTGTTATGCGGAGCTCTAGGGTATCATAAAGTCGGCCCGTCTGACTTTGAGGCTTTCTTTACTGTTTTTTTTAATATGCAAAATATTTTAATTTAAAATATAACATTTAAAATATAATATAATATACATTTATCACTTACAATAATTGTAATTTGGCTATGCCCTGAAAGGCATCATGAGGTATTGTTTTAATGTGATTATACGATAATAACAGATCGTGTAATTGTTTTAAGCCTTGGAATGGACGTCCTTGTAAATTATCTATAAGGTTGCTTGATAAATCTCTGAAACACATAATATGAAAAACATCATCGATAAAATCGCTTATAAGCAGCTCTCTCCAGAATGCCATACTTACAACAGTCTCAATTCTCTGCAATGTGCTAATGAGGGAATGGTTCGTATGGAATTTGTTTTTAACTCTCTGGAAAGGAAGACATTCATATAAGAAGGGTAATCTTTTCTCCAATCGAACATGGTTATAAGAAAATTATAAGGAAAAAAAAATTTTTTTTTTGATATCAAATTTCAATACCCTTATGACCCTGTTCGTCTAACCTCTCAGATTCAATTGAATGATCTGATGATCCTCATTTAAGAATTTCCCACTTCTGTTTTCTCTTTTCTACTTACAAACTTCTCAGTCTTGGTGTTTGATGGCATAACTTTCCCGGCACCTCCATAATGCCAGCTCGATCCAATTTTAAGATTTCCAATGAATAGCTTCCCTCTAAATCGGGAAATGTCTTTAGAAATCGTACATCCGATAGAATTCTAATGAAAAAAATTAATTTCATATTTTTTTCAAAACAATATTAAAAATGTCCATCACTTACAATTTCCTTAACTTCGTCATACCCCTTAATGCACCAGGCATAATTTGTGAAATGGGATTCGCACGCAAATCCAATGTTTGTAGGGTCTTCGGCAGATCGGTGTCGTTGATCCATCGCAGGCGATTACTTGTGGCTGAACTGGAATAAAAACAACCATAGCAACAATTCAATTAATGAACATGTAAAAAATGTAAACAACGTAAACAAGTTTTTTAGAAAAATATAAATCTCGAAATAAGTATTTTTTAATAATTTGCGAATACAAAAAATCTAAAACTTCAGAATATATATTTTTTTTAAATCCTCGAATATAGAAAATTTTAGAAAATAAACTATATGTTTTTCTACATGTAAAAATGTAATCCCCCCACATATATAGTAAGGATGGTGTACAACTCATCGAAATAATCAATCCACTATTGTAGGAAAAATATTTACAAAAACAAAATTTTAATTTTTTTGATATTATTTTTCAAATTCATGATTAGAAAAAGTATTTCAAAATATTTACAAAAACTAGGTTTTTTATATTATTTTTCAAATTCATGATTAGAAAATAATATTTCGAAAAAAAAAAATTAAAAATTTTTTCATTAAAATTTTTTGAAAAAATGGTTTAGAATCCATCGATTGTAAACTGTATCCAAAAACCCGGAAATGTATGAAATCAGGGCATATTTTCATATGAGAGCTCTACCAAAAGGTGTGTCTATTATAACATATAAATAAATCGGTTATATGGGGGTTGTATGATATCGTGGGTATATATAGATAATTATCTTTCAAGGGATAAAGTGCACAAAAGGAACTCCTTATGTGGATTTTCAGATAATTCCATTGCAAAAAGTGGCTAAACCATCAAAATCCAGAATATCGGGGGGTACCGTTATATGGGGATACACGATATCGTGGATCTATGGAGATAATTCTCTTCCAATAGATAAAGTACTCACAACGGACTCATTGTGTGGAATTTCAGACAATTCCATTGAAAAATGTGGCTAAAATCATCAAAATATCGAAATTATAGGGGGGGGGGGAGGTACCGTTATATGGGGGCTATACGATATCGTGGACGTATATAGATAATTCTCTTCCAAGGGATAAAGTACTCACAAGGAACTCCTTGTGTGGATTTTCAGATAATTCCATTGCAAAAAGTGGCTAAACTATCAAAAGTCCAGAATATCGGGGGGTACCGTTATATGGGGGCTATACGATATCGTGGACGTATATAGATAATTCTCCACCAAAGGATAAAGTACTCACAAGGAACTCCTTGTGACTGTTCAGACTATTCTGTTGAAAAATGTGGCTAAAATCATCAAAATACCGAATATCGGGTGTACCGTTATATGGGGGCTATATGATATCGTGGACCGATATAGCCCATCTTCGAACTTGACCTGCCTGCAGACAAAGGAGAGATATGTGCAAAATTTTAGATTCCAATCTTAATTCGTTTTGACTGTAGCGTGATTACAACAGACGGACAGACGGACGGACAGGGCTAAATCGTCTTAGAATTTTACGCTGATCAAGAATATATATACTTTGTTGGGTCTAAAATGATTATTTCGATGAGTTATAAATGGAATGACGAACTTAATATACCCTCTAATATATACTCCATATCATGTGAACGATTAGACGTAAAGCTTAAAATTTGGAATGGGAATCATGGTTGTGAAGTTGAGTCGATATAAGGAAGTAGTTTAGGAAGTCTGTACGCATGTATACGAAAAGTACTAAGCGATACTAAATTTAGTACAATTTGAATTTTGAAGAACAGATGGATCTGGAATCCTGAAATTTGAAATTAACATTACTGGTGGAGTATTTGATTGAAATAGGGAGGACTTTTTCGATATTTGTACGTATATGCACGAAAAGTTAGAAATGGTACGAAATTTGATACAACTTCGATTTTGGGGGAACCGATAGAGCTGGAATTCTGAAAATTAGAAATAAGAAAACTATTGAAGGTATTTTGGGAGATTCGGACTTGTGTGTACTAAATGGTACTTAATTTAGTACAACTTAAATTTTGGGTGAACCCGTAGAGTTGGAATCCTGAAATTTGGAAATAAGATTATTATGGACGGTAGGTAGTTATGAAAATTGTACTTTAGTGTACGAAATTATACTAAATTTGGATTTGGGTGAACCAATAGAACTGGTATACTGAAAATTGGAAATAAGACAACTATCGGAGTGTAAGATTTTACATGTAGGTAATTTTGAAAATTTGTACTCATATGTACTAAAATGTACTAAATCAAGTACAATTTGCTTTGGAACTTCGTACTTATGTGTACCAAATGGTACTAAATTTGATACCAATTGGAATTGTAATAAACTGATGGAGCTGAAATACTTAATTTTGGAATTAGACTCACTAATGGAGTGGAGGAAAGATGCACCAAAATAAATGTTCTTAAATATAACTAAACTTCTAAAATGGTACCATTTGGTATAATATGAGCGGATAAAGCTAAAAAATTGAAGGTTGGTATGAAAATCAAGGTTGGAAAGTATGTTTGATATAAGAAAGTCGTTTTGCGAAGGTGTACTAAATGAAGATACTGTACTAAATGGTACTAAATTTGAAACAGTGCGAGAATTAAGATTGGAAAGTAAGTTTGATATATAATTTTGGAACCGTTTCGGTTTGTGTGAACGGATGAATCTGAAATTTTGAAATTTTGTATTGAGGTCCCTGTTGGTAGCGGGTTCGTAATATAGAGGTGGTTTTAGAAATGTGTACTACAAGTGTAAAAAGTAGTAGTACTTTGTGAAATCTGAAATTGTCATTAGGGTCCCTGTTCTTGTGTAGCCTGGACAAATGGAAGTGATTGCGGAAATGTGTGCTTCTTTAATTGTACGAGAAATAGCGAATGGTACAACATTTGGTATTGAGTGAGATACAATTCAGAAATCTGGCATTTAATTTACTGATGGTATTTGTATTTGAGATTTGGCGTTGGCTTGGAAATTAGTCCTAAGTTTGTACGAAATATACTAAATTGTTCTAAATTTGGTATTCGGTTAAGGGAAATCTCGAAATTTGATCTTAAGTGAAGGCGTAGAGATAGAATCCCAGAATTTGATCATGGGGTGTCTGTTGGTATGTGAAATTGTGATATGGAGGGGGTTATGGAAATAAGTACTATAATTGTACTTAATTTAGAATTGTGTGACGGAAAAGAGATGAAATTCTGAAACTTAATACAGATGTCACTATTGGGGTATGTGGTTCAGATATGGAGGTGGGTTTGGAAATACGCATATCCGAATATAGTTGTTCGAAAAGTACTTATGTTAAATCTTAAAGATCTGAAATCTAATGGATGTCATCACTGTAGGTGTCTGTGGAGATATAGAGGTGATTTTGGAAATGTGTACCAAAATTGAACGAAAAGTACAAAATGTTACTAAATTTGGTATTGAGTAGAGCTGGAATCTCGAGATTTCATATTGAGGTTTCTCTTGGTATCTGGTGTTGAGATGTGGGAGTTGTTTATATATCAGTAAAGTGAAGTACTAAATGATACTGATTTCAGATCACAGTAGGCGTCTAGTATGGAGAGGTGGGGATTGTTTTGGATATACGTAGTAAGAGTTATTTAATTTATAGGATAGAGCGGAAATTCAGAAATTTGCTATTGAAGTCACTGTTGGTTTCTTGGGATTACATATGGAAACGTCGAAATGGTTTTGGACAAAAAAATCGGTCAACTTCAAAATGAAAAATTGTTGAGACTTTTTAGTGTAAAAGATACAAATTTTCCTATTATTCTTTACAAAAAGGGAAAAACTTGAATAATACAAAAAACCTTGAGAGTCTAAAAATTAGATCTGAAAATTTAGTAAAACAAATGGCATTTTTGGTACTAAAAAGCCTAACACGAACTCTTGGAACAAATATAAATTTTAAGGTGGACTTTTCGCTGTCAAGGTAGCGAGCACTTGCTAGTATTAAACAAGTAAAACACTTTAAGTTCGGCCGGGCAAAACTTTTAATACTCTCCACCCTAGGGTAAAGGAAACATTAGAAGAAATGTGGCAAAAACCATTAAAATGCCGAATATCGGGAGGTACCGTTATATGGGGGCTATACCAAATCGGGGCTACACATGCAATGTTTCGCCAAAGGAGCTAGAACCCATTATGACCTACAAATACCAATTTTCAGACAAATCCGTGAAAAAATGTGGCATAAATCATCAAAATACTGAATATCGGGAGGTACCGTTATATGGGGACTATACCAGAACCGATATATCTCATTTTCAATACCAACCATCCTAGACACAATACAAATTGCTCTGATAAATTTTGGGGCTCTACGTCAAAAAATGTGGGCTGTATCGTGATTTCAACAGACAGACAAACAGACGGACAAACAGACAGACGGACATCCTTAAATCGACTTAGAATTTTATGCTGATTATGAATATATATACTTTGTGGGGTCTACGACGAATATTTAATATACCCTCCTTTCAAAGATGGAGGGTATAAAAAACCAATAGTATATATGGACTAAGTCGTAAAAATGGCAAATATCTGGGTGAACCATTATATAGGGGCTATGGGCAAACGTGGACCTAAATATACGCTATGTTAATTTTATTACAAATTCTAAAAAAAATACGAAAAATATGAATAAAATGATCAAAATACCGAATATTGGGAGGTACTGCTATATACCCGCTATGGGATAACGTGGACCTGTATATATACAATATTCTGGCAACGGATAATAACATAACGAACTATACAAACTACAAATACGAAATTTTTGACAAATCTTTTGGAAAATGTGGCTTCAATTGTCAAAAACAAAAAAAAAAAAAAAAAAAAAACAGTAAAGAAAGTCCTAAAGTAAGGCAAGGTCGACTTTATGATACCCTACATCACTATGCTAATTTAGTAGAGCTCCACATAACAATTAAAAGTTTTTATGGGAGAATTCAATCATACACGCTATGATTATAATTATAATTTAAAGTTTAAAGGACAAAAAGTGCAAAATTAACTTGAAATCAGATAAAGATATATATAGGAGCTATATCCAAATATGAACCTATCTCGACAAAATTTGGCAAAGATATTTCTGAGCTGTATTTGATATA